CTCAGGGCTCACTGACGTCTGGAAAGCACGTTCCGCCCCACGGCTGAGCTTGACATTAAGGGCTGCTGTAGATGATACGTGTTAGCGAGCTTGGGGTGGAGTGTTGGGGTGGGGAACCTATGAGTGGCTCACATAGCAATGGATCTGAGATCGGGAGGGGCTGGCTTAAGGGACAGTTTGATTTTGAGCTCAAGGGCTGAACCCCACCCCCTCCCCCTTGCTCTCTCTGTCTCTATCCCTCAGCCAGCTTACCCTTCTGCTCTGGCTTCATTCCCTGGCTCCTCCAGTTACCAAATAGCAGCCCCAGTCCCACGACTCGGGCCCCTGAAGCTTCAGGTGGTGAGGAGCAGAGCCTTTACCAGCATTCCCCCTGGGTTCCCTTGGCCCCCTTCGCCCCAGGTGCCCACCCTCAACCAGCCACTCTGAGCAGGGAAGACATGTACCAACGGGCTGAGGGCTGGCCTTGGAGGTCGGGTCCCTGACTTTCTGGATTGAGAGCAGGAGGGATCCCAGGGAGACGGGGGGCTACTGCCCGAAGAGGGGAATGCTAGAGAGGCAGCAGGCTGGTGTCCAATCAGCTGACCTTCCTCAGCACACACATGAGACCACACGAGACAGAAGCTCCTGAGGCCTTTACTGCCGGGGCAATGGACGGGCCATCTCGGGCAGACGGGGGGGCAGACATAGATTCTGCACCCAAAGGACAGTTTGTAATTTTCAAAACCAGCCCAGAGAGCTGAGCAGAGGGGCCCTGGGCCTGCGTCCAGCTGTGAGAGCAAAGAGGGGCAGGGCAGGTGTGGGTGAGTTCGAGGATGCTGGGGATTCCTGGTCAAGGAATAGACAGAACCAAAAGGCACCCAGCAGACAGCAGGGAGCCCAGTTCTAGCACTGATGGCCCTTGGCAGTCAGGCGAGCCGTCGGGGGCAGTTTGTGGGTGGCATGGTGTCCACCACCTCCCAAGAGAGGGCTGCCTGCAGTGCCTGCTCAGACTGAGCCTGCGGGTGTTCCAGGGCCATTCCAGGCCTCCTGTCAGGCCCGCTCCCATCACAGGACCCTCAACTCTGGACAAGGTCTAGTTTGGCCTTTATCTTCTCTTGGAGGTTTATGCCATTTCCCCGTGTGAGTGGGCAGGGTCTGAGTGAGATGGTAGTTTCTTCCAGACGCCCCCATCTTGGCCCTTTGTAGGCACAGGGTAACTGCTGCCCATGCTGGCTCTGGGACTGGCCATACTCTCCTCCCTGTGCAGGTTGGGCCCCGCCTATATCCCACTCTCCTCTCCAATCTCAGAACCTGGCTGAGCTCGCTCTGCGGGCAGCTGGCCTCTGCATGTTCCCTTTACAGCCAGCTGGTCAGACAGTCCCTGTGATTATCGCTGACCCAGGTGAAACCAGGATGTGTGTTGTTTCCAGTGGAAAGAGTTATGTAGATTCTAGGTTCCTGCATACTCCATATTATTGGAAACTAATGAGCCTGTATTTTCTTCATCCTCATCTGAGGATATTTTTCCCATTAATTTTTAGACAAATTGGAAGGGAGGGGGAGAGACAGAGAGAGAAAAACATCAGTGTGAGAGAGATGCATCAACTGGTTGCTTCCTGCATAAGCCCTGGCCGGGGCTGTACGTGCCCTAGACCGGAATTGAACCTTAGACCCTCAGTCCATGGGCTGATGCTCTCAACACCGAGCAGAATCGACTCGGCCAAGAGAGTGTGTGTGTGTGTGTGTGTGTGTGTGTGTGTGTGTGTGTGTGTGTTTTAATGTTAAATCTTGCATTTCTTGGATAAATCCAAATATGGGATGATATGTTACATATATCATGTATATGCATATTATTACCTTGAATTTCTTGGATAAACCCAAATATGGGATAATATGTTACATATATCATGTATATGCATATTATTGAAATGACTAATATTTTGATTTTTACATCTTTGCTTATAGTTGACAATATCTTGTAATTTCCCCCTAATCCTATCCATGACTGATTGCTCAGGGGTGCTTCTAGACTCCTCACTGTCATTATAGCCACACAGAGGACACAGCCAGCTGTCCCCTCTGCACTGAGTGTCAGGAACAGGAAAGTGCTGAGTAGATGTACAAATTGATGGATGGTGGATGGATGGATGATGGATGGATGGTGGGTGGATGGGTGGGATGGATGGACGGTGGGTGGATGGATGGATGATGGATGGATGGTGGGTGGATGGGTGGGATGGATGGACGGTGGGTGGATGGATGGATGGATGGTGGGTGGATGGATAGGAGGTGGATGGATGGTGGATGAATGATGGATGGTGGATGGATGATGGATGGATAGATGGTGGATGGATGGATGATGGATGGATGGATGGATGATGGATGGATGGTGGATGGATGATGGATGGGCTTTCCCTAATTTGAGCTCTCTGGCCCATCATGAATGGGCTATTTCAGTGCTTACACCCAGCCTGGAGCCACTGTCCTGACTCCATTCTTTAATGGCTTGGGGGTCTTAACACCTTTCAGCTCAGCTTCCCCATCCCACCCATCAGGCTGTGGCCAGGGTGAATGGGCTCCACATAGTGGCCAGCCAATGGCAAATGCAGGCCATCCCACCCCCAACAGCAAAGTCAGGCGGCTCCCTTGCCAGGATTGTGCCAAGGCCCTCGGGTTCAGGTGGGGTGGAACTTTTGGTGCGTGTGGTGGTAGGAAGTCCTCTCCTCTGCCCTCCTCGCTCCTGTTCAGATGCTCATCAGGCAAAGCTGGTGACCCAGAGAGGCTTGGGTCTCGTCACTGTGATGATGTCACATGGCCTTGGGTCTGGCCCTTGAAGCACTACCAATACCCCCAAACCTACCGCTTCGCTATCTCCAAGTTAGGGACCCCCTCTCACTCTTCCCCCAGGCTTTCATCCCTTGCCCCTCCCCTGGCATAATCCTTCCTGAGTTTACACTTTTGAAAATAAAAAGCAGGAAAGGAAGACATCTTCGGACAAATCCTGTTTCCGCGCTGCGGCCTGGGCCCTCCAGCCCAGGGGACATGCAGAAATGACATCCTGGAACTGGTAAAGAAGAGTGACCTGGGAGCGAGATACAAATGGCACCTCAAGAAAGTGCCCTGCCCGCTGGCTCCGTGTGGAGGCTGCAGGGCTGGCATTTCTCATAAAGGCTTCCAACTGCGGCCTTCAGTGACATCACCTCGGGAGCTTGCGATCAGCATGGGAATTGGCACAGGCTACAATGCGGGGCCTGTTACACACTCACCAGCACAGCACTGGGCAGGAGCCATGGACAGCAGCAGAGGTGGGAGGGGCTGGACCGACACAGGATAAGCCAAGGTGAGCCCCACGCCTTTGTCAAGTTTCTTTTATTAAAATATACAGGACTGATGTTGGTGGGCGCTGAGAACAGGCGCCACCCCCCAGGTGTGCCCAGGGGAGACGCTTCTGCCATGCAGACATGCGGCCAGTCCTCATCCCAGTGCGGGAGACGGGCCTCTGGCCGAGGCCAGGGGGACAGGGGGATGGTGGCCACCCTCTCCTGTGACCTGGGCCCCTGAGAAGCAGAGCGACACCAGCTGGGAGGACCGGGCTGGGGGTGGGGGGAGGAGATCCCTGAGCCAGGGAAAGCTGATGCCTCCTGGAAGAGGGGAGGGACCCCAGTCAGACTGGAGATGGGGTGTCAGTGCATCTCCAAGCCGAGGACCGCCTGTGGGTGCCCAGGAGTCCCCTGGCCGAACCAGACCAGTCTCCAGGGCCTCCGCCCTCCCACCCTTTCTGGAAGGCCCTGCTCACCCCAGGCAGGCCGAGCAGAGGCGGGGCAGTAGCCGATGGAATGTATGTTTGGGAATGTTCCTCAGAAGTCCCCGCTGCCTGGGCAGGAGCGGCCATAGCTCTGTGTCCTGGAGGCCCTGTGGACCTCCCACCGGCCTCGGGCCCTCAGCCCTCACTGGTGCCTCTGGCCTCAGGTGGACATTGGCCCCATCCCAGAGCAGAACCCAGCCAAGCAGTGTCCGGGGTTTGTGCTTTTGAATGTTGGTGTGCTGGGCTGGGGAGGGGCTTGAGCCCCAACTGCTCTGAGTCACAGAACAGACCCCCGCTTTCCTTCCCTGGGCCACTCATGGGCCACCCGGCCCAGGGCTCCCGGGCCCAGGCTCAGCCCATCAGGAGGGCATCTCGGAAAAGCAGTGTCCTCAGCTCCTCGCGGCTCCACCTGAGCTCTGGGGGTGCTTGTGCTTTGTGTATGGGTTGGGGGGAGCCCCTGTGGAGGTGGCCACACTGCTTCAGGACCCCACCAGAGGGGAGCTCAACCCAATTGCTGGGCCACGGGAGACGGAGGCTGGGGGACAAAGGACTGAGAAGCCCTTCCTGGGCTGGCTGCCACCGGGCTCCTGGGCGGCCAGTCCCTGAGCCACACGGCCTCTTCTTGGAACCTACGATGACTTGGGGTGAACAGTTCAGAGCCTGAGAGGTGGGGGCAGCGCCACCACTGTGTCCCCACTGAGCCTGGCCTGGGCAAGTAGGGGAGGGCTTCTCCCATCTCGTGGGGTCGACACAGTCTCCTCACTTTCTCCACCAGGAAACCCAACCCTGAGCTTAAAGGGCCCCCTTCCTGGGAGGGAGGGACAGCAGGGATGGCCCTTCCTCCTCGCAGCAGAGCTCACCAGGAAACCTTCCCAGGAAGCAGCAGGCTCTGCCTCCATCACTTCTTTCCTAGTCTGAACACCCTTTATCCCGGCTGCCCCTCAGGGTTCTGCGGTGAGGTGCATCCTGGGAGTGTGGTCAGTGGGCTGGGAGTGTGGTCAGTGGGCTGGGAATGGCTGGGAGACAAGGAGACCAGGGCCTGGCCCTTGGGTGGTGGCAAAGAAGGGAAGCGGGAGGGAGGGGCTTTCACTCTGGAGACCGGACCCTCCTTTGCAGGGGAGCTGAGCACTTCCCTGCGCACACCCAGCAGCCAATGGCTGCAGACACTGCTCTTCCCTCGGCCGCTGCAGAGGCAGCTCTCTCTCCCTCTGCAGCCTCACTCCGCTGGCGTGTGTGTGTGTGTCTGGGGGTGTAGCTCATGTCACCTGGACCCAGCTCCCAACCCGATGCAGCACCCCTCCCCCACCTAGCCCAGAGGAATGGTGCACGCACGTGTGTGTGTGTGTGTGTGTGTGTGTGTGTGTGTGTAGCACACTGTTCACTTTTTGCAAATATATTAGAAAAAGGTTTCTCATGGAGGCTGTTCCTGGCAGGATTGAGGTGGTGACGATGGCCACTTGGGGATCCCCGATGTGTCCTAGATGACGTTCTCGAACAGCTGCATGGAGCTCATGATGTTCTCGTCCTGCGTGGAGAGGGGACAAGAAGCCAGGTCAGACCCAGGTGGACAGGACGGGCGGTGCCCACCTCTGGTCACCTTGAGCGGATTCTGGTCATGACCGGCCTCTGCAGGGACCACTCGGTCTGTGTCCCTGGGCTGGGAGGAGCTGGTCAGGCCCAGCCCGTCTTCAGCCCCAAGGCCCGACTGCAGCCCGTCTGGGATCGGCTAACTCACTGAAGGACAAACCTCCCTGGTTGCTCACCCAGCGGAGGCCACGGCCATAGACAGGTCACTCTGGGAGCGAGGCAAGTGGCAGAGGTCTGATGCCCTGCCTCCCCGACCCCAAGGGCTCTGCAGAGGGAGGCTCCAGGTGCCTGTCCCCCAGCGTGACCTGCCCAAGGGCCACACTGCCTCGTCACCCCTGCGGCCCCACATCTGCCCCCTCTACCTCAAAGCACGCAAGGGCAGCTGAGCTACGCTGCCCACGTGGGCTGTGGCTGGCAGGAGCCGGGGGAGGGCTTCAGAAGAAAGAGTGAGAGTGGAGCTCAGAAAAGCGGTGTCTTCAGCCGGTCATGGGCTCCACCCGAGCTCTGGGGGTGCTTGTGGTTTCTGTAGAGGGCTGGGGGGAGCCCCTGTGGAGGTGGCCACACTGCTTCAGGACCCACCAGAGGGGAGCTCAACCCAACTGCTGGGCCAAGGGGCGTGGCCTGAGGACTGGCCGGGGCAGGACACAGTGTTCTCAACTCTGAGGACACCTACCTTCTGACAGGTCTCCAGGAACTCGTCAATGGTCACTACCCCGTCCTGATTCCGGTCCATTTTCTGCAACCCAAGCCACACCCTCGGTGAGTCTGTGTCTCACCAGGCACAGTCCCTGTCCCAGGCCTGAGGACATGCAGAGGTTGGGCCTCCTCCACCCCCTCCGCTCCCCGCCGTCCCCTACACTGGGTCCTCAGCCCCTCGCACCCACAGCTGACCTCTCCCCAGTCTGCCCTCCAGCCCCAGAGGCTTCGGACGGCCTCCTGGGCTTACAATTCCCAGAATTCACCCTGACAGCAAGTAGGAAGATGGAGCAGCCAAGGCACAAAAGGGCCACAAGTCCCACGGACACACAGAGAAGTCACCCCAACCCCATTCCTCCTGCAGACAGTTTCCCTGGAGGAGTTGGGGGAGGGGGGCACTTGGAAGGCACCAGGACACGGCCAAGATGTCAGCTGCCTTGGAATCTGTGAGCCCAGCCGGCCCTGAGCTGAGGTTCAGCTGACCGGCATGGCCATTGACCCTCCTGTGGGAGAGGAGGCTCAGGTGGCTCGCCCAGGTGCCCTGAGGGGGAGCCCCTTCCTCTTCCGGCCGCACATCCGGCTGGAGCGCTCACCTGGAAGAACCTCTCCACGTGCTCCAGAGGCGCGTCCTCCCGCAGGAGGGGGTAGGTGTGACGGCCCATCATGTCATAGATGGACTTCATGATGGCCAGCATCTCCTGCAGGGGGGGAGGGGCTGGCATGAGTCCAGCTGCAAGGATGGGGGAGGGTGCAAGGGCCAGAGGGGAGGGGGCTGCACCCATGGGTGGAGAACCCCTCCAGGGCAGGTCTGAGCCAGCTCTGCTCTGCCCCCACCCCGGCTCTGCCCAGTGACAGCTCTGACTCTTCAAGAAAAGGCAGAGGTAGATTTTTGTCTCCAAGATTTGAGACTGTAGCTACTATTTCATATATAAAAACTGTTTGGGTCCAAAGAACCCACCTGTGGCCCCATGTGGTGAGGGCCCCCCCTTGCCTCTTGATTGGTGGGAGCCAAGGCCAGCCCCACCCTAGGCTTCTCCACCCGTGTCTCCCCAGGCCCTTCTGTAAGAAGGGCTGGTCCTAGGACACTTGCAGAACTGAACCCAATGTGTGGTGAGGGGCACACAGCCCCATGCTCCCTGCACTTAGGGGCCCAGGACAGAGCCCAGGAGAGGAGGAAGCCCCCTGGTGGCTGTCCCCCACCTGGTCTCTGGGTGGGGAGGGGAGGGGAGGCAGGACAGCCTGGACAGGAGGGAGGACAGACAGGCCAGGCCTCAGTTAAATGTGTGCGTGTGGTGATGTAGCCATCCTTGTTAATGTCGTAGAGGTTAAAGGCCCACTTGAGCTTCTCCTGGACTGTTCCTCGCAGGAGGATGGAGAGGCCAACCACAAAGTCCTGGGAGGAGGGAGGGTGAGGAGTGCCAATCTGACCCCAGGTTCTATTTCCAGTTCGCTGTGGGCTTCCAGAGCCACAGCTCCAGAGCGAGGGGCTTCCATTACAGAACAGGCAGGGGCCCACGAGGTTGACAGTGTGTGCACACGTGCATGTGTGTGTGCATGTGTGTGCATATGTGTAAATGTGTGCGTGTGCATGCATGCATGCGTGTGTGTGTGGTGGGGATGATGCCGTGGCTGATACCGATCTTCTCAAGTGAAGCCATTCGAACATATGGTGTCTCAGACCATAATGCATTGCTCTGATGGAGGACACCTGGGTGCACTCTAATAAGGGGTGCCCTCCCTGTAGTTTGCCAGGATCTGCATGTCAGGGTGTTTGAAACTCCCAGCTTCCAAAGCTAAGCTAACAGCGCTCAATTCTGGGCCAGGACAAGCCTCTGAGTGTGGTGGACACTGATCACTAACGTGACAAGACAGACATTCCCACGGCTCCCACTGGAAACGTCCACTGTTGTGTCACAACAGCTGGGGGGACGCCAGCTTTCCCTCCGCTCCCGGGAGCCTGCAGGCTGAGCCTCCCGCCCATGGTCCTCCCGGGGCTTCCTGAGGGAGGAGGGCAGAGAAGGTGGAGGGGCAGCCTGTGGAGGGACAGGCCATACACCCCGGGGCTTAGTCCCCACTCAAACCGCATACTTCCTGGATCAGAGGACGCCGGGGTCACAGAGAGAAAGCCGAAGGGAAACAGAGAAAAGCGATTTGGAAAAAACAAAAGTATTACAGGAGGAAAGCACTTAACAACAACTTTTGGATTTGGAGATTGGAAATCTGACATTCCTAAAGTAAGAACAGGATGCTATAAAAAAGGAATAACTAAGAGCAAGAAAAAAGCTTTTGGAAATAAAAAATAAGAAAGCAAATGACATACTCAGAGCATGGTTGGAGAAGCACATGGAATCGTGGAATCGTCCGTGAAGCGGGGGTGGGGGGAGGCAGAGCTGGAAAGTCGGGGAGAAATGGCGGTAAAGAGAGGCCCCGGAGCA